TAAAGAATTGAAAAATTATTCTGATACAAAATTTTGAAATCAAGTTAGATTCAAAAAGATATAGCATTCAATCATCTACCCTTTAACTTACGACAACTTTTAACATTCATGCATAAAAATCACAACAGTAACATTTAGTCTCTGATAAACACGAAGCACTTACTTTAGCAACTTGAACTTTGCCATGAACTCGACATCCTTCATTTTTTCCTTCATCCATTTTTTGCACCCAAGAGTCCTCTTTACACTGCTCCACTGACTCAATATCTGTTAATTCCCAACCTCTCAATACATACGCTTCTTTCACTTCTTCGCATGTATTACAACACCTAAAAACAAACAGATATTGAAAAAATGGGGAAACTTGATTTAAAAAAAAAATAAATATGAAGTTTTCACTGTTTTTGCGTCAAAATTTGTCTTTCAGTGAATAATGTAAAAATATAATGAAATTAAGGAAAAATCAAGAAATAAAAAGCTATCACGTAAGATTTTCATCCCCAAGAATAACGGTCCATGAAAAGCGTCCAAGTACCTAGTTAATCAGGAATAAAATTAAGTGAATTTATGGAAGTAATAAAATACAAAATTAGAAATCTTAAAAATTACGCAAGCAAAAATACCCGTTTCTTGCACCAAAACAACTACCGCATAAAACTTGAGTAGTCACAGCCGACTGTATCGTAGTTGCATTAACATTGACCCCTAAAAAATATTATAAAAAACATCTCCCAAGGAAATATGACATATTTTATTGAAGGAAGCGAAATGGGACTTTTTACAAAAGACCTTACTATATCGTTTTTTTTCCATTGTGAATTGCAATGTTTTTGATTAATTACTCAAACTTTTATCATGGCGCTGTTAAGCAACTTTTTGGGTACGTAAAAAAAATTACTTCGCCAAGAAAAAATAGCAACCTTGCTTCACTTCACTCCCTTCTTTACCATCAACCAGACTGATTTTATAAACATCATCCTTGATATCATCTTGGTTGTCACCACTTAAATCCATGACGTCAATTGTTAGAACTGAAATAATGGAAAGATTCAACAAAAAAAAAATGAAAAAAAGGCATGCAACAAGAAGGATTAGATATCAAAATTATAAAATTACTTTGATATAATGCTAAAACTCGAGAACAAATTTCAGTAACCTGAAAATATAAAGAATTTAATTGCAATATAATGTATAAAACACAGTAATGAATGATAATCAGGTAAACCGAAGTCAGTACCAGAACAAGGTAAACGAGGAAATGTAATGTCGAAATTGACATGTACTCGTTGCTCAGCAGGAGTGGAGTCCACATATAACTGCTCGACGATATCTACCGACAGAAATGACAATGTTTCTGATATGAACATAAATATAATCACTGTACTACTTATTAGCGTCACTGAAAACAATTGCACATAGTATAAACTTTGACACGAGAGTTAATAGCATTAAATCTCAACCATATATTTATACATTTTCAAAAGCCAAGATTTTTGATTGTTTGTTTCAGTAATGATTAAAGATAATTTGATAGAAACTAAAATGATAATTTATGCGTAAATGAAAATTACGGAAAACAACTCACCAGCACCACCAGCGAAAGTTCGAACACGAAAATCTTCCAACGGTTTTGTATATGCATCGAGATTTCTGAGATGGCGCAGAACAAACATTTACACAGTTTGTGTAAAGATGAAGGCAAAAATTGTCCAAATAATAATCACCTGATCACGTACCAAAGCCCAAACAAACCACCTAAACTAAGCATGTACTTCAATTTTTTAAAAGTACTGAAGTAATAAACACAAGATAGATTAAAAAATATGAACAAAACAATAATAGAGATTGCAGGATGATATATTTATCACATATTATTCACTTTTCATCTTACAAAATGTTAGCATTTACCAAAAACTGATACGAAATTCGTTGATCAAAATACAAACTGAATCTGAAGAAATCAAACTTGATCAGAATCAGTACCATGAATCAGTTATCTCAATCACTTAATAAATAGATCGAAAAAAAAAATAGAATCTTCGTATTACTGACCATCTGTTATTTTGTTAATATGATGATGAATTGTTAGCAGAAACATTTTCAGATAGAAAAACAAAATAAATTTGAGAAAGCATCTCACACCTAATCCCAAACTAGAAAGGAATCAGAGGCGAATTTGCACTGCAAATGAAGTCTGTAAACAGAATAAGCCACCTCAAACTTTGTGTTATCGCGAATGTCTTTGAGTGCACCATATGCAACAAATTTGTATCGCTGATCAAATCATTTGAAATTATTAATATTATAGTTGTTACCTTGTTACCATCAGTTGTTACCGTCAATTGTTACCTTCAGTTGTCACCATTACTTGTTACCTATTGCTAGTATTGTTAATGCTTTTAGTACTAGCAATACATGATAATTACTGGAGGGTATGCATATTTTTTTAATTAACTTAGTGCTTATATTGAGATGAAGTTAAAATAGTGCAAATTACTACATCACAAATCTAACATTCAGTACCTCAATGAAATTCGATGAAGGATTGATTTGCGAGAATAATATTTAGTACTTATCCGTTTTTTATTTCTTCTCAGATGCATTCAGAAACATACCAAACACATTTTATTGCACTGAATTATACTTTATTTGTGTTAAAAATTTGCATATTACAATCAATAATGTAAGTACTGAAAAAATATTATTATATATTTGAGCGCGATACAAATTTGAGCAATTTCTATGCATAATGCATTCATTTGTTTTTGCTGATCTATCAATCAGTTCTTTGCTGCTAAATGATTGATTGACTATGAGGATTATGGATATAGTCTTGCTGGTTCAGTTGCTAGTTGTTTTCAAAATAGCTAGTGGACAGGTATTCTCTATTTGTTAGCAAAAAATTATTATTGATTACCTACAAAATTAACGAAAAAAATCTTATTGATTTGAAGTCAATATAATACATCAAATCGCCTACGAAATCTAAAAAAGTATTATTGATCGCTTAAGAAACTGATAAAAATTATAGATTGCTTATGAATTTATCTGTAAATAGTATTTAAATTACGAAT